ATTTGCCGCAATCACTTTATCTCGTTTCTGAATATGTGCTGATATGGTCATGTTTCTGTTTTTTGGGAATATTCAGGAGTGATGTGTGGCCTTAACACTTAGATAGGTGTGTATTTTGGTATTTTTAATGCTTTCTGATTGCCTCCAGGTTGATGTGATCAGGAGATGGTCTTCCCTTTTCACTTTTCTTCCTGAGAAATTTCAAGATCCCACTGTTGGTCATTGTGATGTAACTCAGGATTTAATTATTGGCCTATTTCCTTTTTAGTCTGCCTGTTCCACTTCACAATCCATGTTCAGGCCTTTTTTCTAGTTATAATAAGTTCAGGGCCGGCTGTGGCCATTTTGTGCTGCCGTTTGGTTTTATGTGGAAACTGTCATTTTAAATTTTGAGGATCTGTGCCCATGCATAGTAGAATCCTCTTGGGGTGGGGGTGGGGTGTCCACTCGCTCAGACACCCCCTCTAGTCACCAGAATGGAGGGGCACAGACAGCAAGAGACCAATGAACAGATACAAAGAAAAATGATGTCCACACCTTTATCTGTACAGTTCTGTCAGGCATCCGTGGCTGCTCTGATCCTTTCCCCACTTGGTCTCTCCCAAGATGGTGGCTCTGGGAGCAGCTGAGCATTTTGACTCAGGAAACAATGGATTTCTTGCTTCTGCTATAAATTCCTGTGGCTGTAAGCCCTCCAACCTTCTAAATACTTCTTTATATGTGGTTCAGAGTTCTGGGACCATCCCCTGAGCCTGCTTGGTCTGGTATTCTGTGTTGTTGCTGATGGAGCTCTTCACTGAACTTCTACCCAATCCTCCATTTTGTTTGTTCTCTATGCATCATTTTTGCCATACAGATTGACTTTAAAGGTTACTTACTGGAGCTACAACTGCATTCTATTTTATTAATTAAACACACTGATTGCTATCCCTTTGGAGTATAAAAAGTGTGTTTTGTTTGTGTTTTTGTTTTTTAGTGTAAAATGAAGCATTTATTAAAATGCATGATCAGTATGCTCCCTGTTCTATAATGTATATGAACCGGTGGGAAATTTGTTGATGTTTTTCTGCTCTGTATTTTGCAGGAAAATTTCTGTTAGTTGGGTGATAATAAGTTTCCATTTGAATTCTCTGTCTTTGCAGGTATGAAGCAATGATAAAGGCCAAGACCCTTCCCATTTTCAAGCTGTCTTATTCTGCTAGTCAGTTTTATTTGGAAGCTGCGGCAAAGTATTTGAGTTCAAATAAGATCAAGGAAATGATGGGTGTACTCTCAAAACTAGACATAGAAGATCAGCTGGTCTTCCTGAAGTCCCGGAAACGGCTAGCAGAAGCTGCAGACCTGCTGAAGAGGGAAGGTCGGAGAGAAGAGGCTGCCCTGCTGATGAAGCAGCATGGCTACCTCCTGGAGGCTGCCAGGCTCACAGCCAACAAGGACTTCAAGGCCTCATGCCTGTTGGAGGTGGCCCGCCTCAATGTGGCCAGGAATTCTGATGTAGAAAATACCAAAGCTATCCTGAAACAAGCATTCGATCTCTGCAGTCAAACCAACCAGTTGTCTGGCATTGCTGAAGCCCAATTCTTAGAGGGGGTAATTCTGAAAGACTTTCAGAAGCTCAAAGGTGCCTTCCTCAAGTTTGAGACGCTCAACCACTCAGCTGGTGTGGTGGAAGCGCTCTACGAAGCAGCCAGCCTCTGCGAGGCTGAGTACGAGAAGGTCCTGGCTCTGGCCCCAGAGGGCTTGGAAAACCTCCTCAACCTGGTCAGGGCTCTCAAAAAGGTGACCTACAATGCTGAGAAGGAAATGATCAAATCTTGCTTTGAGTTTTTTGGGATTTCTCAGGTGGATGCTAAATATTGTCAGATAGCTCAGAATGACCCTGGACCCATATTAAGAATAATTTTTGACCTGGATTTAAGCTTGAGAGAAAAGAAAACAAAAGATCACTTCTTGATAATGACTGATCAAGTGAAATTAGCATTAAACAAGCACCTTTTGAGTCGAATGTGTCAGATCACACAGATCCTTCTTGGGAAGACCTACCCTGGAGTCTGCATGAGGTTTATTGTAGGCTTAAAATGTGATGAAGACTGTAAAGACTTCCATAGGCCTATGCGGCGTTGTGAGGCTAAGTGTTTGATTCAGTCAAAAATACACCTGGTGGCAATCAACGGATTGCTTTTGGAAGCCAAAAATGTATTCCCTAAAATCTTAGCTGAAGAACTTGAAGAAATTGATTATATTTTGTCTACAGACGTATATGGCCTTTGTAAATCCTTCCTGAATGTACTCTTCCCCAAGCATTTCCACCAGAGAGTTTTATCAGAAAATCCCATGGCATGCAAAGAAATCCTCAAGCCGGATTACAAATCCTTCCGAAGCTTCAGGTTTGCTTTGAAAGAATACATCCACTTTCTGTTTCAAAACGAAAGTGCCCAGAGCCGACGGGAATCTACTGACCTGTGGCTGAGGGCCCTGCAGACTTTTCTTGTCTCCTTCAACTATCCCGAGGAGTTTGAAAAGCTGCTTTACCAGGAAGAGGACAGCTACAACAGGGAACTCCAGGCTCTCGAGTCTGAAAAAGAAGAAAGGGACAGTGGCAGTGACAGCAGAATAAAAGGAATAGAAGGGAAATTGGGGATGCTGGTGCCCAGCAAGGATGATGAAAGTACGGAGACGATTCACCTGTGCTTCATCCGGCTGCTGGAGAATTGCATCGATCAGTTGTATGTGTACAGGAACCCTGAAGACTACATGAGGCTCTTTTTCCGTTTCATGAATGTTCTTGTCAAGAGGTGCAAAGAACCACTCATCCCAAATATTGGAAACACAGTAGCCCTGTTGGAGTTCCAGTTTGTGCACTGTGGGGTGGTTCTGACCCGCCTCTGGAAGAATGTCATCCTGTGCCTCCCCAGGAGCTACATCTCAATCTTGCACTATTGGGAGTACCTGTTTAGAAAGGACAAGGAGTTTAGGGGCATATTTTTCGTCATTCAAGACTATAAACCCAAGGATGTGGCAAGAGCCATTCAGGATTTCCGCTTCCATCTCTCTTACCTCGTCAAGGTGCTATGCGGTTATGAGAATGAGAACTTCAATGTCTTGCTTGATGCCTTCAGTGAAATAGACTGTGTGGTCTCTGGCGAGGCAGAGCGAACACTGGTCCTGTGCTTGGTAATGCTTGTAAATGCCGAGGAAATTATGCAGCCATACTGCAAGCCTCTACTCTACCGCCACCTCCAGGAAATTGAGCAACGGCTGCAGCTGATGAGCATGAACTTCCCGGACCAGGTTCCTGAGAGGCTTCTCAGAATGGTGAGGCGTTTGTTGTTTGCAAACAATGTGAAGTCTGTGGCCGAGGCGCTGCAGGACTTGCTCTTTGAGAGGGATGAAGAGTACCTGATGGACTGCCAATGGCGGTGGGAAAGTATGCATGCCAAAGGCATCATGATCCCTGGCCTTTATATTGAGGAGATCAAGCTAAGCCGCTTACTATATGTGAAACCTGTGGACTATTTAGCTGAATCTGAATATGAATTTGATCAGGATCAGACGGATGAGCTGGCATTAGAAGACCGAGACTACCTCTTTGCTGCCATCCTTTCCCAGAAGCAGTGGAAGGCTTCCGTTCAGCGCAAGTTGAGAAGAGTATGCTTGGTGGTGTCCCTGTGTGTCAGCTGGAGGAGGAGGGTGAGTGCCCATGCAGAACGCTTCAGAGAGGAAGCAAGGGAGCCTGTGGCTGGGAACTTCAAAAAGGCCGACATTGATAGGACTCAGTGTGACCTGTGTGGAGTGAAGTTCATTCGTGGTCCTGAGAACTACTTCAACTCCAGTGAAGCATTTGGGAAGGTGGCTTCAGAGGTTCATTCCAGGGCTGAGTTGGAAAGGAAAGAGGGTCTGGAGAGGAACAATGGGTCTTACGAGCAGCACATCCGCCTAGAAAGTCACCAAAAGCAGCAAGTGGCCTACCAGAAATACTCAGAGTTTTTCCATGGGATGGTGGACCCAGCCATTGACGAAGGCAAGCTGGTGGTGCAGGACATCGAGCAGAGCATTTGGATCCGCAGCCACCTGGGCTCAAAAGAGCACAGCCACATGCTGCAGAGGAAGGTCCAGGAGAACATAAAGAAGGTTTCAGATATGGTCGAGGAACTCTACAGGCGGAAGGCCTGGGCTGGCGGTAAGCAGCAGCAGAAATGGTAGCCTAAATTTGTTAGAAGTCTGAGGTTCGGGAATGCAAGTGGAAGTTGAGTCACTATTTAGTGGTAATATCTAAACAGGGGAGGATGCAATCTTGGCATTAGCAGAAATACAAGTGAGGAATGTGTGTTCTCAAATTACAGCAAAACCTCACTGTTTGCACTAAGTTTTACCCCCGGCATTATTGATAAGGAAAGGAGGATGTTTAAGGTTTGTAGTCTTAATTTTTTTGCGCTAAAATGTATATGACAAGAAATTTGCCATTATTACCATTTTTAAGTGCACAGTTCAGTGACATGAATTGCATTCACCACGTTGTAAAGGTTCTCTTCATTCATTCATTCAGTAAGCATTTCTTGAGCATCTACTATGTGTTGGACCCTTGACTAGGGTCTGGAGATGTGTTGCTGGTCTCTTCTTTTCAGAGGCTCTGCATCTTTAACTGAAAGGCTAGCAGTGGAACCCACCAGTGGCCCCTCTGGAGAAAAGACCTAGAAATTTGTTCACATAAAGATTGTTGTTGTTGTTAAGTGCTGTTGAGTCGGTCTGGACTTATAGTGACCGTGTATAGGATTTCTGAGGAGCAACTGGTGAACTTGAACCACCGACCTTGCACTCATATAAGTTCCTTGGAGTTGGTTCCGACCCATAGTGACTCTGCACAGGGTTTCCGAGGCTGTAAATCTTTACGGGAGAAGAACGCCTTATCTTTCTCCCGTGGAACCGCTGGTAGTTTCGAACTGCTGACCCTGAGGTTAATAGCCTGATTCGTAACCACTATGCTAGCAAATCCTGTGGAGTACTTCTCCTCTGTTAGAAGCTACTTGATGGCACACAGCAGTAACAACAATGTTGTTAAACCACACCCAGTGTGAGCCTTTCATAATAATAACATACTAACATGTATCTGAATCAGATTTTTCTTAGCTTCCTTAGCAACACCTCTTAGCAACACTAAGTAGAAGTTATGCATAAAATTAGTGAAGTTGCATGTTTTAAAACATATTCTATAATTCAGACACCCTCTTCAGTTTAAAGTTGAATAACATTTTGAACACACACTTCCATGAATGGTTTGCTATTACCAGTTTCTTTAAACACACTTCAAACACACATCAGGAGAGCATTTTTGTTGTTGTTGTTGTTGTTAAGTGCCATTGAGTCGGTTCCGACCCATAGTGACCCTGTACAGGGTTTCCAAGGGTGTAAATCTTTACAGGAGTAGAAAGCCTCATTTAGCTGTAGCTTATTGCTTGCTCTTCCTTGAAGCTTGTGGTGGCAGAATCGGCTTGGGATCCTTACTTGGTACTTCTGCAGAGGAGCACTCATACACATCACCTTTGGTGGGTGTGTCAGGAGGGGCTGGGGGCAGCTTTGCTCTAGTACTTGGTGCTTAAGTTCCTGATGTGACCTTTGTACTCATAGTCCTTGTTTTTTGGCTTCTCTAGGGCAGGAGATGATGACTCGATTGGTCAATATTCTTATCCTTTCGGTCAGGGATGCACGGGAGTGGCTGAGGAAAACAGAGCTCTGCTTAAAGGAAGAAGGTAAGCAATTCTTTAGTCTAAGAATGGGTCATGCTTTCGTTTCATGGTTCGTTTCACTGGCCCCAGGTAGTTTGGAGTGGGGCAGCTCAGTGAAATCAATAGTGGCCACTCACTGTCCAGGAGCGTCACCTCCAGTGAGTCAAGTTGCCAGCAACATACTACAGCAACCATGTGTACTGTGAGGGCAGTTCTTCCAGGCCCTTGTTAGTTGTTAAAATGCCTTTTGCCAATCAGGAGCAATTATTAGATGATTTTCAGTCACTATCCTGAGCACCAGGAGAAAGATGAAACTTTTTGCTCCCACGAAGACTTAAAGCCTCATAAACCTTATACAGGGTTGCTATGAGTCAGAACCAACTTGAGAACACTTAACAACAACAACAACAACAACATCCACATCTTGCATACTGTGACTCCTAAGGATATACTGCAAAGCTATCCCTTGCTAAATATGTTAGTCTTTGTCATTGTGAGGGCCCTGAACAATACCAGATAGATCCTGCCCACAAAGGACTCTGAGAGAGAACCAGAGACCCGGGCCAGGAATAAAGCACATCAAATAGTCACTTCATGACAATATCAGTTGGAACCCATTACCCATTAACCAGCACTAAAGCTACCCCGTTCATCACAGATAAGCCTTGTATTCACTCTTCTGTGCACCCCCAGCCCCATAGATCCTTACATGTAAGCACTAGGTGTGTAAACCCACATTTCACACTGCGCTCCCTGCAAGGACCTTTGTCTCTTGTGGAAAACTTGGTGCTAGCCTCTGTCTGTAAATTCCCTAATGAAAGCTAGATCTAATTAATCTCTTTTTCTCACAATCAGACCTGTGCTCCCTGAGACCACTTCTGGTGCTGGTCCAGTGGGGTGTGACACTGAGTCTTTTCCATCAATAAGTATTTATAGTCTAGTGTGTATCAGCACAGTGCTGAGCCTGGGAATATATAATCTGTGAAAAGTGCAAAGTGAATCAGATTTGTTTTCCTCAGCCTGGCACCAGTAAGGTCTTGCTAGGATCAGAAGAGGCCTAGGCATGTAAGTGATAAAAACCTCTGTGATTGAGAGTATATGTGTAGGGGGAGGGGCAGGCTCCTGAGGTTCACAGCTAGTAGCAATCTAGAAACCAAGAGTTTAGTACTGCAAGCAGAGATGGTGGTGTCAGGAGGCCAAAGGTAGAATTTGGAAGGTCTAAGTTTAGAAATCAGGAGCCCTGGTGTGGTGCTGTAGGATAAGTGCTGGAGTGCTGACCAAACTGGACTGCTGACCACTGGTTAAGACTCACCAGTTGCTTCTCAGGAACCCTAAATGGGATTGCTATGAGTCAGAGTGGACAAGCACAAGGTTTAGAAATCAGATGTCTGGAATTGTGGTTGTCAGAAGTAAGCAAGGATATTTCACTAGGTAGAAAGGGGCCAGAGTCAGTATGTTGAGGTCCCAATAAGGTGGGAAGTGTTCAAGGGTTTGAGAAGAGAAAGCAAGGAACAGCATTAAGACAGCCATGGGACAGTTCTTACTGTTTACCTCTTTTCGGTTTGACTGTGGTGAGTGGGTAGCCTGGGCCTTCGGGGCCAGAGGGAGAAGACAAAGAGTGGATTGTATTAGGATACAGTTAGGAAAACTGGCATTCTACATCTCTTCTAAACTTCTGGACTTACACTTCATGGCTGAATAATCTTCCGCCATATGTATTACTACATTTTATTTTTCATCCATTCGTGTGTTACTGGATAATTGGGTTGTTTCCAGCTTTTGGCTATTGTGAATAATACTGCAGTGAACATAGGTCTGTACACATCTGCTTGAGTCCCTGGTTTTGAGTCTTTCGGGGAGACTCCTAGGAGTGGAATTGCTCAGTGGACCGCACTACTTCTTGTTAGGAGTCTTTCACCAGTGCCAGCTTACCCTCTGTGAGTCCTCAGAATCTGAATGCTATTGGAATCAAGACCTCTGAGCTGGGGAAAACTTGAAGGAGCTTAGCACAAGTGTCGGTCAGGAAAACAAAACAAAACAATCTTTAGAATATAACTGTTGCTGGGGAGTATGGTTGTGTGAGTATTGCAAGAAAGTATTTCATATATCCTTCAAATGAAAGATAGTTCATATACTAACTCTGTCTGTGGTTTCATTTAGGCCTTGTTTGATTTCCATGTCATTGAAAGGAGCTTCAAAAGGAACTTCATCTTGGAAAAGGGTGTTTACTCTGGGTCTTCCTGGGAAGCAGTATCAATATTTAAACAAATCCTTTATTCACATCTTTAATTTACAGAAAGGATTACAGAGATATTAGTTTTTAATTTTTAAAAAAATTTTAGCCATATTGTTAGGTACTTTCAAGTTGGTCTGACTTACAATGTTCCCACCATATATAACAGAGCAAAATACCTCACAGAACTGCATCGTCCTCACAATTGTTACTCTTGAGTCCAGTGCTCCTGCCACTATCCCATTCCATCTCATTGGGGGTCTTCCTCTTTTCCACTAACCCTCTACTTTACCAACCATGAAGTCCTCTAGGGACTGGTTGGTTCCTCCTGACAATGTGTCAAAAGTATCAGAGATGAAGTTGCACCATCGATATTTCTAAGGAGCATTCTGGCTGTACTTCCTCCAACACAGAGTTGTTCATTCTTTGCCTGTCCAGAGACAGTAGGTTTTACTAGGATGTTACAGTTTGCATTTTAACAAAATCACCCTGCTATACTTTTCTGTTTTTATTTTAATTTTCCCCCTGTATTTTTAACAGGAATCGTTCAGGAGGATGAATACGAAAATGAAACTGAAGACTTTGGCGAGCTGCGTCCCATAAAGCGTTCACGAAAATGTGGAAAGCAGAGAAAATACTAATGTCCATGTAGCTATTGCCTCATAGACCTTCAGAATATTCCACCCTGACTTAGAATTTGAGAATTGGAGAGCTAGGCAAAAAGAAAAGAAACATAACGTAGCCTTTTTTTTTAAATTATTTTTTTAAAAGTAGAGATGTCAAAGAATACCTTTGCTTTTTCATATTCTGGTTGTTATCTCTTTTAGTCATGGTTTAGTAGTTTGATTGCTCTCTGACCTGAAGGGACCTCATAAGTGTTTTCCAAGTGAAAGTTTAACAGCATTAGTCCTCCACCCCCACTAAAAACCCATTCAGGTGAAAGGAGCCATAGTTGAAGGGGATGCAGTGACTCATCACTGTGATCTTCTGGCTTGTCCCTGTGTGACATGAGTGTATAGCAGGAGACTTGGCAAGGCAATACCCCACATCTCAAAGGAGCCCTGGTGGTGCAGCAGTTAAGTGCTTGATGCTAACTGAAAACTTGGTGGTTAGAACCCACTCAGTGGCTCCACAGGAGAAAGACTTGGGGATCTGCTTCTGTAAAGATCACAGCCCAGGCAAGCCTACAGGGACAGCTCTGCTCTGTCACCTGGGGTTCCTACAAGTGAAAAATCAACTAGACAGCACCCAACATCAACACCCTTCATCTCAGACTTGCTGGGAGATTGCTCCATGGATTCCCTCGTCTCCCATCAAATTGCTGTAGCATTGAGTAGTATGAAAGCTGTGTGTCTCAGGTCCATGCTGACCCCAGGCCACACTCTGGTAGCCTAATTCCTTCCGTTATGTAGGTTAGCCTTCTCTCTCTGTGGCAACTCTTTATGCCCCCACTCCCTCATTTTTTGTGCTCATTCTCATCTACCTGTGCAAGTCACAGATAGACTACCTCAGAATGTAGTCAGGAACTTAGCTAGTGTCTTTTTGAGTGGCCAGCCTCAGTATCCTTACCCTAGAGGGAAAAGCTGTGGAGTAGCCTGGCCATTCCAGGACTGCCTTTCCAAGGTGGTCCTAACTGCCTTGGTTATGGTGAAAACATTCCAAACAGTGTGTAGGCAGCCCTGTTCACCTACTTTTCTTGGTTTTTCCTGGCAAGTTTGCCATCTTAGCTTAGGCTGACATTGTGATGAGTTTCCAGCCACTGAGTTCACATCAGTGGGACAGTAACCAGCCAAATTGCAGGTCAGGAACCAGTGGACAGGGAGGGACAGAGAGGGAGGACAGAGATTGGCCTTCGAGTGCAGAGCCATAGTCTGCGAGCCACTCACTTGGCTGTAGGTCCTATGAGAGGAGGAGCGAGGGAGGTGTGGGACCTGCTTAGGAGGCTATTCTCACACCCCTCTGGTCCCCTTGGGAAGCCTTCATGCCACTCATGGTTCCTGTCCATCCTGCCCCTGCCCCTGCCGCTCACCATGCTGTGAAAGGTCAGCTCACCTTGGTCCTTAATTGTTTTGTCCTCACAATAGAACCAGCTTTCTCCCCACGCTGCTGCTGCTGCTTTTGCTGCACATTGTTTTTTCCTCGTATTTCTAAATGACTGTTTTCTTGAAATGTCTGTTTCTAATTTTTATGAGGTCATGTTTCTAAATTTTATTCCAGGCACTTTTTATAAACTTCACATGCCAGGAAAAAAAAAAAAAAAATCAAATCTTAACTGTATAAATCAAATTTTTATAAAGTTAAATCATTTCTCTTACCTACTGCTGTCTAGTTGTTTATTTCTAATCTCTTTTCAGAGAAAAAACCCCAGCTTTTTTCCAGGGATACATCTTTCAAGTCTTGGTGTTTATATTGACCAGGGTGGGAATCTTGCTGTACCTCCTGAAATTAAGGTCAGCCCAGGGCCTCCCAGCTTGTTGGGGTGTCTGCGGAAGGCCTGCCCTGTGGAAACTTGGTAATTTGGAGACTCCTGAGCATGCTGGGTTTGGACTCTAGGGAGTTCGGTCAGTGCTGCCTGCTGGGAGTTTCTGTTAACAGGAACATTGCCCTGGGAGCCAACAACCAGCAGTTCTTTCTTGGAGCCCATTGCTCCAGTTCACTATCAGTGCATAGAGTGTGTCTGCCCTTGAGCATTAGCAAGCTCCCCCCCCTCAGCCTCTCATCTGTCTCTTGACTATAATGTTTCCCAATAGAAAAGTAGAATGTCAGGCTGGTAGATGTATATGTGTCCTATGGTGAGGTCTGGGACAACCTAGCTTTTGACCCCCAGGGACAGGGCAAAGCAGCTGCCCAAAGTCATTCCCTCTGGGCAGCACAGCACAGCACTGATCCTGAAATTGAGGATGACTTTAATCTTCTTTAGCACCCTCATCCCTCACTATCCTGGGTACACACAGGAACCCCAACCCACACCCTCACCAAGTCTAGGATTGAAGATACTGCAAGTCACCTTTCCCAGGCCTTTGCTGGCTTGTCTCAGTTTCCTTAGATGATGACTTGCAGCCCAGAATGAGCCCCAGTTTTGCTGAGCACCCTTGCCAACACCCACCACCTGTAGAGCACCTGCTCACAGAGCTCTGTGTAATATATAGCTCATGCCACACCTCTCAGATAAAGGTGGAAGAGGAAATGTTAATGCTTATGGGTCCTGGCTGTCACCAAAATCTACTGGCCAAGAGCATCAGCTATTAATTTCCGTAGTGCTGTGGAGGGGGCTCTCCCCAAGGGCCTGATTGCAGTGCTACTGGGTGGGGACCTGACTCATGGGGATGTGAGTGAGCAGGGCAGGAGATGGAGAGAGTTTGTGGTTTGTCGCCCCCAGGAGCATATAGACAGCTCCCTAGACCTGCACGGTGGAACACCCCTGTGATCCAGGAAAATGGCCAACACTGAGCATCCAACTTTTAAATCCCAACAAATCAACTGCCAGGCTGTATCCAATCAATATACATAATGAAATACTCCATTTTTACTTTAAAATGTTAATGGCATTGGATGTGAGCTTCCTATGCGTTTGATTTGATTTCAGTCGACTTTGATGTTCTTGGGATTAATGATTTGACAGTACTATAATACATATATGCATTTCAACTATCTAAGAAATGTTACATTTTGTTTAAATTTTAAGTCTACTTTGAGCAGCATTGTCTCTTTGACATGAAATTCAACCTAAGTCGTTTTTGGGGACCCTGTGCTTCCTGAAGTTCTCTAAAGTGGTGGTGGTGGTATGTGCTGTGGAGTCAGTTCCTACTCATAGCGACTCTGTACAGGGTTTCTGAGGCTGTACATCTTTACAGGAGCAGAAAGCCTCATCTTTCTCCCGCAGAACCCCTGGTAGTTTTGAACTGCTGACCGTGAGATTAGCAGCCTGACTCGTAACCACTATGCTATGCATATGAGGTATAGCAGCCCTCTCTCCTTCAGTTCATGGCTACACTGACATCCTCCCTGTCTGAGACAATAGGGTATCTGAGAAAATGGATAACTTTCTGCTTCCCTGCTGTGGGATTAGTCTGGGAGTCCTGGGGCCTCTGGTGTAGTCTCTGTAGAATGACCCTTCAGTCAGCCTTCTTGAAACTCCTACTTCTCCACTGTACTGTCACTGTGGTGAGTGCAGGTCCCTGTTGATCATGACAACCCCTAATCCCTGCCTCACCACTGAACTAAGGATGCATAAAGTCTTAACTACTTTGCTTGGAGAAGAAGAAGGGAAATGTAGAGAGAACAACAAATTAATGGCTGAATAAAGAGCTGAAGACTATGGAAGAGTGCAAAAAAATGGCATCAAACCATCTTTCCATAGCATATACTCCTCAGTTGGGTTAGAAAATTCATTATATCGGCCACACAGAACTCAGACACCATATTCACAGTTATGAGACTTATTAAGAAGTTAACAGTTTACAGTTCAGGGTCAGAAATATTCTTCCTGTGAGGAAAACTTCCCCTTGGCCGTTCCCTGAGGCAGGCCTCTCTTGTCCCCTTGGCCTCTTGACTTGGACTCTGCCCTGTTCCAGCAAAGTTACAGAGCTTCTAGGGCTACTGATAAATGCCCGCAGGACACATTACTCCACCGTAAGCCTCAGCCTGAAAGCACTCAGCCCTAATGCCATGGGTCAGCAAACCTAGTTTCCCTATTAAGTACCTGTGGACATCCCACTCTGCAAACAAGCCTCCTACCAAAGTTACGCAGCTTTACTTGCGCTGTGGAGTGGAAAGCCAGCACTCTGTCTCAAACTCTTAGTTCTGGTGCTGCTGCTTCTCTGCCACTCCTCCAAGTGTCACAGCTTCCTGTCCCTGGGTTGAGAAGGTTCACTGCACAGGGAGCTTGGTGTCAAAAGGATGTGCTCCACTTCTGGGTCTATTTCCTTGATGATAGTGAGTTTCCCCCATTCCTACTTCTGAGATGACTCACTGAATGAATACATGTTAGAGCTCCCAAGTTTTTACAATCACAATTAGCTCTGTTAGCCACTTAACAACTGAATCTTATAATCCGATCAGCATCTTCTCCCACCTCTCTTACACAGACGCAGTTGGGCAAAAAATGAAGAGCCATATAAAGTAATTTACTACACTGCAAAGGGTGATGCCAAAGGTGGTGGTTGTTGGTATGTGCCGTGGAGTCAGTTCCAACTCACAGTGACGCTGTACAGGGTTTCTGAGGCTATAAATCTTTATGGGAGCAGAAAGCCTCATCTTTTTCCTGTGGAACAGCTGGTAGTTTCAAACTGCTGACTCTGAGGTTCGCAGCCCGATTCGTAACCACTACGCTACTAAGGAGCTCTAGTAGCGTAGTGGTTACGAATCGGGCTGTGAACCGCAAGGTCAGCAGTTCAAAACTACCAGCAGTTCCGCAGGAGAAAGATGAGGCTTTCTGCTCCCGTAAAGATTTACAGCCTCGGAAACTGTGTGCAGGGTTGCTATGAGTCAGAACCGACTCCACTGCATTTAACAACAACAACGCTACCAAACTACTGTCAATTCCTTCCCACTCTACCCACCAAGAGGTGGAGTCTATTTTCCTCCCCTTTGTAAGTTACTTCCTTCCCACTCTACCCACCAAGAGGTGGAGTCTATTTTC